GGGTTTAGGGGTTCAGGGTCTAGGGACTTAGGGGTTTAGGGGTTTAGGGGTTTAGGGTCTGGGGGTTTAGGGGTTTAGGGTCTATGGGTTCAGGGTCTAGGGCCTTTGGGGTTTAGGGTTTAGGGTCTTGGGGTTTAGGGGTTTAGGGTCTATGGGCTTAGGGTCTAGGGGCTTAGGGGTTTAGAATCCAGGGGTTGAGGGGTTTAGGGTCTATGGGTTTCGGGTCTCGGGGTTTAGGGGTTTGGAGTCCAGGGGTTTAGGGTCTAGGGGCTTAGGGGTTTAGGTAGGGTCTATGGGTTTAGCGTTTAGGGGTTTAGGGGTTTAGAGTCCAGTGCTTTAGGGGCTTACGGTCTAGGGGTTTAGGGTTTAGGGTTTAGGGTCTAGGGGTTTAGGGGTTTAAGGGTTTCTAGTTGGCTCGGTTATTCAGGGTTTTAAGGGCTCCTACGATGGTTGAGGGTGTAGGGCGCTGAAGGTGCTGTAAGGGTTTAGGGTTTTGAGGTTGGCTAGGGGCTTCGGGGGTTTAGGGTTTTCGGGTCTACAGTTTCGGTGCTTAGCTGGCCGGCTCTGTTTTTTGGGATGCGGGGTTTGGGCTTAAGGCTTTCTGATTATGAATCTTACAGCGTGTATCAACCCAGGTTTCTATGCATAATAGTTATGGGCTCCGGTTCTGGGTCGGGGGGCTCTCCCTATAAACCCCTAAACCCCAAACCCCTAAACCCTAAACCCTAAAACCCTTTAAACCCCTAAACCCCTAAACCCCTAAACCCTAAACCCTAAAACCCTTGGAACCCCTAAACCCCTAACTAAACCCTAAAGCCTAAAACCCTATAAACCCCTAAACCCCTAAACCCTAAAACCCTATAAACCCTACAAACCCTATAAACCCCTAAACCCCTAAACCCCAAACCCCTAAACCCCAAACCCCTAAACCCTATAAACCCCCTAAACCCCTAAACCCCTAAACCCCTAAACCCCTAAACCCTAAACCCTAAACCCCAAACCCTATAAGCCCTAAACCCCTAAAGCCCTATAACCCTATGAACCCTATAAACCCCTTAAAAGGCTG